TTAGAATTGTGATAAATTTAATTTTTCTTTTTTAATTTTTTAAATCCTTTTTCTCCATGTTCCAAAACAAGTTTATTTCTCTAAAATTTGTCTTCTAATTAAAGTACTTTTTTTCTAATTTTTCTTAACATCCAAAATTTTGCTTGAAATATTGTTTTATTTGTTAAAAAAACATTTTATAGCCAATGCCAAACTTACTTGAACGGAATGATAACTTTTTTTTATTTCTTTTCTAATTTCTTTTTTTTTCACACTCCAAATCAAATTCATATCTCTCTAAAACTTTCTTTTAATTAAAATATCATCCAAAATTTTGGTTGAAATGCTATTTTAATTATTTGTTAAAAAATATAAAAAAGTTATACTAAATAAAACCTTGAAGCTTGAGGTATGATTTTAAGTTTTATTTTGAAGATAAAATGATAAATTATATGCATGATAACTTATGTAAAAAAAATTACAAAAAATAAATTATAGCTAATGCCAAAATGTTGTTAATAATCATTTAGTTTTTTATGAACAACAAAATTTCGCTTGGGTGAGACTTATTATGAACAACAAATTTTTTTCTCTATTTTAGTTGGGTAGGATTATTATAGGCGACAAACAGTAAAATTTAAACTCAAGACCATAACTTAAGTTAAAACAATTTTCTACTAGTTGATTCACGTGGTAGTTTTGTGTTATAATATGAAATTTTACATGATTTTATCTAATCAAATAATAAATCTAAATTTTCTCACGATGACAATTGTCACACACTTTTTTACAAATGGCACCTGTCTAACATCCACACAAACATATCTATCTCACTTTTTCATAAATGACACTTGTCATATATGCTCTTATTTACTTTATACGTGACATACATACACTGACATTATTATTTAGTTATATATATCATTTTATTCGAACTATTAAAATTGATAGGTCTCGTAAAAAAAGAAATAAAAAATAAAAAATGGATATTAGTTGTAATATGTACACTTTTATTGCACCAATACTTCAAAATCATAATATATGTATGTTCGTATTTGTACGTGATATATATCTTATCTTGTCAATTTTAACATTTGCAATACTTATGTTATTTAATTATTAGTTTGATATTTTTAATATTTTATAGATTTTTTTAAGATTTTTTACTTTTAAAAATTATTATTTAACAAAGATTTGCTCAAAATTATAATAAAATACTCAACATAACATACATAAATATAAATATATTTTACTTAATATATATTTTCTCGTACCCGCATCCTGATATTTTAAAATTTTAACATATTACGTATTATATCATATCATACCTAATATTTGTATTCGTATTTATATACAACAAAGATGAACATACATATTGGAAAGAGTATCAACAAATATTGGACCATGAAGAAATATATTGGTATCATCATTTTAGAGCAAATTGGATTAGGTTAGGAGATAGAAATAACAATTTTTTTCATAAGGCTGTTGTCATTAGGAGACATAAGAATTTGATAGAAGCCCTTAAAAATGACAAGGGTGATTGGGAGTTTGATCCCTTTAAATTACAATCTATGGCCCTGGAGTTTTTTAAAAATTTATACTATGTTCCTGAATCTCACTTTGCTGACCTAACTTGTACTTTATCTTTTCCTCCCCTTAGGGAGTGCGATAAAGATAGGTTGTAGTGTGTCCATGGAAGAAGTAAAAGCTTCCTTATTTAGCATAGGGAACTACAAATTTCCTAGTCCAGATGGGCTGCATGCAATTTTTTTAAAAGTTAATGGAATTTATTGACTCCCTTCATCTTTAATTTTGTTCAAGATATTTTTCATAATCTAAAAAAAATAGCTACAGTGAATGATACTGCTATTACTCTTATTCCGAAAATAGATAACCCTGAACATATTAAAAATTTTAGACCTATATCCCTGTGCAATATGAGTTATAAAATAATTACAAAATTACTGGCTAATAGAATTAGGGGAACCCTAAACAATCTGGTGTTTGCCAATCAAACTAGCTTTATTCCAGGGAGACAAGGCATAGATAATGTCCTAATACTTCAGGAACTCTTGCATTCAACTACTAAATTAAAAAGCAGGAGTGATTATATGATTATTAAAATTGATTTAGAGAAAGCCTATGATAGACTTAGATGGGATTTTATTGTCAATACTCTCCATAAAATTGGCCTAAGGGCTGATTTTGTCAATCTGATTTATCAATGTATATCCACTTCTTCTATGTTCATTAACTAGAATAACAGTAGTACCCATACATTTAGTCCTGAAAGAGGTATTAGGTAGGGAGATCCCATTTTCCGCTATATTTTTGTGCTCTGTTTAGAAAGATTGAGCCATTTAATCCAAGATAAGATTGCTAATCAAGAATGGGTTCCCTTTTCTTTCAGTAATCATGGCCCAAAAATTTCTCACTTATTTTTTGCTGATGACATAATTTTAGTAGTAAAGGCTGACCTCAACCAAGCTAATATTATCCATGAGGTCCTCATTGAGTTTTATATAGCTTCTGGCCTTTCAATTAATAAAGGGAAGTCCTCCATAATTTTTTTCTAATAACACTGACTCTGCTCTTATACAAAATATTAGTAATTGTTTAGGTATTAGAAGTTCTCCAAGCTTTGGTAAATACCTAGGTATCCCTATTAGTAATAAAAAACTAGGTAGAAAAGATTTTGCTTTCATCATTGATAAACTTAGAAAGAAGCTTACTTTATGGAAAATGAATACTTTATTCTTGGCTGGGAGGGTCACTCTTATTCAATCTTGCCTAATGAGTATCCCTTCCTATCTTATGCAAACTATGATTATCCTTAACATTGTTTATAAGGAAATTAATAGTATATGTAAGAATTTTATATGAAGATCTTTAGGTAAGAGGAAATGTCACTTAATTAAATGGGATAAAATTTGTAAGCCCAAGAGTGATGAGGGTTTGGGCTTCAGGGATCTTTCTCTACTTAATAGAGCTTACATGATGAAATTACTTTGGAGATTGATTAAGTCCCCTCATGAGTTATGGGCCCAGGTAATGTATCACAAATATAGATTTTGTATAGGGAAGAAACCTAGTTTAGGCAGTAAGCCCTCCTATCTGTGGAAAAATATAATTGTTGACTGGGATATTTTTTCTAAAGGACTGGGTTGGGTGGTTAGTGATGGCTTATCTACCAAGTTTTGGGGGGACAATTGGATACTATATATTCAGAACCTACCTTTGTATGCCTTGTGTTCTATTCCGGAGGAGGACCATGATATACATGTGGCCTTCTTCTCTGTCCAAGGTAGTTGGGATTGGTCCAGAATTAGGAACATGCTTCCTCCTCACATTTGTGATGCTATAGCTCAGGTCAAACCCCCAGATGTTAGTAGAGGTCAGGATCTTGTGTTTTGGAACATATCGAGTGATGGTTTATTTTCTATAAAAACTGCTTATTCCTTTTTTAATAATACTGATAAGTATTCTGTCTTAAGTAAGAACATTTTCAATTTAATCTGGAAATAGGATGGTCCTCCCAGAATTGTCTTCTTTTTATGGAAAGTGTCTCATGGCAGGTTATTAACAAATGAGGAAAGAAGCAAAAGAGGTATGAGTAATTCTCCCCTTTGCTCTAGATGTAATGTTGCTCCTGAGTCAGTTATGCATGTTCTTAGAGATTGTTGGTTTGCAAAAAAAGTCTGGTATTATTACATTTTACCTAATAATTGGGCATCTTTTTTTAGTATGGGTTTGTCTGATTGGTTGTTTAATAATTTATCTAATCCTAAGTTTAATAATTTTCCTTGTTGGAGCAAAATTTTTGGTATTATTGTTTGGCACCTTTGGAAGGAAAGGAATAATGCTATCTTCAACTCTTCTCTTGATACTCCAAGTGCTTTTAATCAAAGAATTCGTCATGACTTTGAGTATTTGATTTCTTGTTACAGGGATAAATTCAAAACAAATGTTGATAGGATGGATATTTGTTCTCAAGATATATGGTCTCCTCCTTCTGGTCACCTAAAGCTAAACGTGGATGGTGCTGTCTCCCAAGCTCACAAAATTTCTGGATGTGGCGATTTAATTAGAAATTGCCATGGTCAATTGATAGCTGGGTTTTATAGGGGTTTAAGCTTCTGCTCCCCCCTATCTACTAAATTGTGGGGTATTTTATTTGGACTACAATTAGTGGTCCAGAAGAATGTCCAGCTTGTTTGGATAGAAACTGACTCTAAGGAAGTTTTACAATTAGTTTTGAATATCCATTGTTGTAATCACTCGATGTTTAATGTCATTTCTGAATTAGGAGTTTGTTAAAAAATATTCTGTTTATCAGGTTTAAACATATTTTTAGAGAGGGGAATAAGTGTACTGATTTTTTTGCTAAAATGGGATTAGATTTTCCTGAGCACACCATTTATTTTGAGAAGAGTCCCCCTTCTTTAATCATTTTTTTGAGTCTCGATTCGGTTGAAATATGTAATTCTTGTTTTAATGTGTAATTCTATTTTTTGGGCGTTTTAGCTCCTTTTAATAGCAAAAAAAAAAAAAAAAAGATGAACACAAATTATTATTTATATTTTTCTAAATTGAATGAACAAATGTAATGTCATATAAGTTAAAGCACTCTAATTGTTAAATAATTAAGTGGAATTGTTCCCTCTTGAATAATGGTTCAAACGAGAATCAGTTATTACAAAATTTTATTTTATTTTTAATAAATTCTTTTCATTAGCAGCCTCTGCGGTCACTAATAAAGGGTATTATTTCCTTCAAAGAACAAAAACCACCAATAAAAATATATACATGCTTTCTATGTTACGGTTTGAAAATTAGTTACTTTATTACATGCATTATAAAAGTCAAATTTAGCATACAATATATATATATATATATTAATCATCTTTAAAGAAAGTTCAAAGGTTCCTGATATCCATGACATTTCAAATAAAATCCATAGAATGCTTTAATACGCAGTATTATTAGTTTATAATTTCATGAATTTTTTGAATAAATCCTTAGGAACAAGGACCTAAAATGGAGCTAGTGGGCACCAACACAAAGGGAGGATCCCAAGCATAGGAGAAGCGAACAGTAGCGAAGGGGCTCAAAGGATTGCCATTGATAAGGAGACAGCTATCACCTTCCTTTGAAAGAATTGATGGGCTAACACTTTCTGCACTCTGAAACCCTCTGCAAGCTAACTGTATCTGCCTCTGTATACAAGAACAGTTGTTGATTACAACCACGTTCCACTCAGGTTTCCCTTGTATCTCTCTCCCACTTCTCGTTGACCCAATGTTTATGTTGTTTAGGGAACAAGAACTAGACCCTGAAAATCCATTGGATCAAACAGAAAAAGGAGATGGTGAAATCCACACACTAGAAGTTTGGTTAGGATAGTGAAAGGCAAGAAGTGAAAAAATGAAATTTTAAAGCAGAAAGAGTATACCTTTGTTGACAAGAGTAAGGAAGAGAATTGCAGAAAGGATCTTAAAGACTGTTGCCATTGTCCTTTGTGACTCACTCATATGGCCTTGGTTGTGTAATTATATAGTTTGTCTAATTAAATAGTTATTTTGACCAATCAACAACTTTTGGCAAGTTTTTTTCTTCCCTGATTTTATAAGAAACTTTTATTGGCACTTTTCCATGTATATAATGGGATCATTTAATCGGATTTTCAAAATCTTTTCCACTATCTTTCACTTAAAAAATAATCATCAAGATAATTTTTGTTAATATATTTTAGTCAAACAAATTTATTGATATAAACTTTAATTATTTGTACAAATACATAATACTGACATTAAATGTATTGATAATATATGTTAATATTCTTACAAGCTATTATTTTCAGTGCATATATAATATATCATATTATAATTAGTATAAGCTTTCAATGTTTATATTAATAATTTATTTTTAAAATAATAATTATATTAACAAAAACTGTTCTAATATTTAATAATTTATATTTATTACTAAATGTCCTTCTTTTAGTATCTCCCATTAAATATCATTGTTTGCGACCAAAATTTATGTAGCGTTTAATTTCTTTTCGTTTTTACAGTAATTCAACTCAATATATTTGGATGACTTAATTCATTTACTTTGTTTCTGATATAATTTGAATCTTGTTGAAGGAAAAAAGACATACATAATAATTAATCATTATTTTTAAAATTATAACAAGAGATTTGCTATATCTTTCAATTTATTTTTTAGTTTTATTCTTCTTATTTTATAACTAAATGTTAGATGAAAAAAATGCATGCGTCTATTAACTTGAAAAAATTTTAAAATAGAATGTAGAAAAATTTAGAATTATTCTTAGATCAATAGTAAAAAAAATCGATAAAGATATTAATACACCTATAGTTAAACCAATAATCAATTGTTATATATATATATATATATATATATATATATATAAATTTACCTGGATTGTTGATTTTCTAAAAAAATTTGAATCTTATGTAAATTGAGAATATTCAACACGTGAATACAACTTAAACCAAACCAGCCAACTATTGGTATATATGTTTTATATTAGAAAAATTATAAATTTATAAGAAAAAAATTAAGTTAGACAAAATTTTAAATTAGTATAAAAGAATCATATAAGATATTTTATAAGCCAGATGTTTTATATAAAAAAATTGGACAATAACAATTTGTATGAAGATATAATAAATGAGTATTTATTTATTTAAAAACTTGAAATAAAAATTAAAAAAATTGACACAAGAAAAAGGGGAAAGTTCAAATCAATTTTCTGCATTAGTTCTTGTTGGTTGCCTCTCATCGATTCTGGTTCGTCACTAACCAATTTTTTCTTCCCTCGATCAGTCATTTGAACCATCTTGGTGAACTGATTGGGTTCCAATTAAACTACAATCTGATTTTAATAACTTAGCCTCTTAACGCTTAACAAAATATATTAGTTAATATTTTTCACTCAATTTTTTATAAAGAGTATTTTAATAAGTTGCAATATAAATTTCTTAAAATCCAATCAAATGTGATATTTAATAATTTTTTTCGAAAAGTAAATTATAATATAAAAATGGTCCACACAAATATGAAAAGGATACTAAGAAAGAGTTGAAAGTGAAAGACGAGCAAAATTTATTCGACCATTCAATTAGAATAAATGATCAATAATTAGATTTTATATAAGAAAACCAAAATTTTACAGATACACAGAATATACAACTGATATGAGAAACATTGATGACATTAATTATCATACATCATCTGAAAAATAAAGATAAATGCAAATATTTCAAAAAAATACAACATAAAATGCATATAAATTCAAAATTTATTTAAAAAATTAAGACATTAAATATTAAAAATTGTATAAAATACATTATAAATGCAATTAATTCATGAAAAAATATATTTATGACGATATGTAAAATTATTAACATTAATCACTGGATTTTAAATAATATTAGTAATAGTTATGACTAAATAACAGCAGAATTATGTTTGCAAATATATTTTAAAAATTAAAATATATTTAGAATGAAATTTACACACTTAAAAAATTATTATTTTGTATGGTATATTATTAAATAAATTTTTTGATAAAAAGATAATCAAAATATAATACATATAAAAAATTAACTTATATTACATTATTTTTTTATTTTTAGTATATTATTAAATAAATTTTTATCTTCAATTATATAAGTAATATTTATGTAATTTTTAAAAATTTAATAATATTTTTCTATTATATTACTTTATTTTTTTATTTTGTAGTTATGTCAATTATTAAGATTTAACTATTAAATAATTAAATAATAAAAGTTTTAGGTTGATATTTTTTATTTTATTCGTTAACTTATACTAAGATATTCTATCTTAATTTATTAAGTAAATATAAACTTGTATTATTTTAAAATAATATTATGTATTATATTTTATTTTTATATGATTAAATTATATTAAATCTATCAAAATTTTTTTAACTAATCTAACTTATAACAGTATAAATTTAGACCATATATAACTAAGTCATAAAATTGATATTTATATATGTTCACATTTTAAAATTTATAAAAAAAATTATACATAATTTTAAAAAATATTAAGAAAAATAGTAATAAATATTTATATATTTTTTAGAGATTTTAAAGTATTAATAATAAGTAAAATATAAATAATAAAAAATTAAGATTATTAAATTTTAATTATTTTTATAACAATTACAATTTTTTTTTATAATTAAATTTAGTAAAAATTTGTAAATTAATCTATATTTTTTATTTTGACCAAATCAAATTATACACATTTATATGTAAATTGAATTTATATTCATCACACATAATTATTAGTTATATCTAAGTAAATATAAATACTTTTTAATAAATATATTTACTTTTATGTTTCTTATATATTTTTAGAAGAAATACATCTTTTACTGAATATCAATAAAAAAAAATTTATAGTTTAAAATTTTCAACAAATTATCAAAAAATAAAAATGTTAATATCCCAATTAAAACACTTTAAATATATATAAACTAGGAGTTAATTAATACTACAAATTTCTTGCTCCTCTTACAAGAAATTATTTCTTTTATAACTACAAATTTTAAATATAAAAGTTACTATAAAAATTTTAAGTACTAATAACAAGATAATTAGTTTATTAATATAATTAAATGTCATATTATAATTTTTTAATTTTAATCTTAAAATTAAATGTATTATATATATTAATATTTTAATTTGTATATATTATAAATTTATTTTGAACTCGATGTTAAGTATACTATTTAATTCAACTAAATTTGTATTATTTTACAAGATTATTAAATAATTAGTATAAATAAAGTTAAAAAATCTTATAACAACTTTTGAAATTGTAAGTAAATATATAAAATTTTGACTTAGTTTAAAGTTTAATTATACATTTAATTATATAAATAAAATAAATTAAAAAATATACTTATTTTTATATGATAATTTTTTTAAAAGGATGATGACGATAGTTTGAAGTTATTTTTATAAATTTTTAATATAATAAGTATTTCGCGTATTTTTTAAATAAAAATAAATATTTACTTTAAAAATTATGGAAGATAATTTTATATTAAATAAAAATTTGAATTCAGTAATGCAAATAATAAATTAAATAATATTATAATTTTATTATTTTCATTTATAAAGTTTGTAATTTAAGTAAGAACAACTTTAGTATATGATAAAGATTTTTTATAAGAAAAGTAAATACAACACTTTTCAAGAAAACTCGATTAAAAATTTATTATAGTTAAAAGTAAACACAAAATATTTTACTTAATCTTTATGCTAGACCAATTTATTTTGTTTTATAATATGATATCTATTTTATATAATCTTACATAAATTTAAGTAAATAATAAGCACAAATTCTGTCAAAATGACACTTGTTATACATGCATACATGCAACTGAAACACAACACACATTAAAGCATGCACAAATACACTTACATACATTTTCACAAATGATAAAATGACACTTGTCAAACATGCCCTCCCATTATTATTTAATTATATACATCGTCTTGTTTAAATGATTGAAATTGAAAAGACGTGCACAATTTTCCTCGATTCAAATTAGAGCTGCTTTTACAGGATTTTGTTTTGTTTTATTTTTTAAAAAAATATTTTCCTAGCAGTTTCTTGCAGTTACTAATAAACGGGCATTTCTTTGTTGGGAACAGAAACCATTAATAAAAATATATAAACTCTTTATCTTTTAATTTGAAATTTAATTACTTTATTATATATGTGCACTGTAATATAATATAATAACGCTTAATTTCACCCCATTTGAACTATTGAATATATATATAATCTTTAAAGAAATTAGAAAGGTTCCTGATTTGCACGACATCTAAACTAAAATCCGTAAAAAGCTTTAATTCACAGAATCACAGTATCGATAGTTTTATTATTATTATTTTATGAATTATTTGGAATAAATGCATAGGAACAAGGACCTAAAATGGAGGTGGTGGGCACCAACACAAAGGGAGGATCCCAAGCCCCGTTGATTAGGAGGCAGATATCGCCTTGCCTTGAAAGAATTGATGGGCTACCACTTTCTGCACTCTGAAACCCTCTGCAAGCTAACTGTATCTGCCTCTGTATACAAGAACAGTTGTTGATTACAACCACGTTCCACTCAGGTTTTTCCCTTGTATTTCTCTCCCACTTCTTGTTGACCCAATGTTTATGTTGTTTAGGGAACAAGAGCTAGACTCTGAAAATCCATTGCCAAACAGAAAAAGGAGATGGTGAAAACTACAAGTTTGGTTAGGGCAGTGAAAGGCAAGAAGTGAAAAAAATGAAATTTTAAAGCAAGAAGAGTATACCTTTGTTGACGAGAGTAGGGAAGAGAATGGCAAAAAGGATCTTGAATGCTGTTGTTGCCATTGTTCTTCGTGACTCACTCGTATGCCCTTGATTGTCTAATTAAATAGTTACTCGTTTGACATGTTTATTCTCT